CAAATTATCCTTCCTGAAAAGCATAGACTATGAATGAAAAATACAGTTTCAAATAAAAAACAATTTAAGTGAATATAATCAATTACTTTACTCCCTTGAGTCTCATTTCTTTTTCCTTTTTCAAAACTCAGTCCTGATTGCTTTCATAAACCAAATTCCAAAGGCGTCTCCTTGGGATCTTACCTGAATCCAGATTGTGAATTTATTGTCAAAATTCAACCCCTGCATATTTCCTTGTACAGAAGAAATGGAAGTTCAGGAGTTTCAAAGAAAATAAAACCTGTATCCATCATGTTATTTAAAGAAACCCTACACAAAAGAGCTCCCAAAAGGCCAGTTAAACATGAGACAAAAAAAACCAAAAAAACAGTCAAGATATTCCTTGATAAGATCCATAAAAATTATCTTTAATTGATGCCAAATATGAACAGATCATAAAGTGACAGAAGCAAGTAAAATTGCATAGATGAAAACTATGCGCTTCAATAAGATTCTCAATTCATAACATTCAGCGTCCTCTACCTGACATATTAGACAGTTAGGGCAGGGGATGCACAGTAGGCCAACAAGAGACACATCCTCAACTCAAGGGGTAAGCAACTGGCAAACTCAAGAAATAAAAGAATGCTTTTTCAGCTTCAATGGTTTGTTGTCCTGATGGTGCACTTGAAATTGATACACTCAATTGTTATTTTTGGCCTTGGTAATACTTTACCTTTACTATTAGAGGTATGTCATCTAGAGCTCATGATATCTACTTAGAGCTGCTGCATAGCACAGTGCACTGAAGAGAACAGTATTTCTGCAAGGTGTGGAGGGGAGACAACTTTTGACCTGGAATATTTTGCAAGGTTGCAAGGGATTTTGTGTTTTGTTTTTCCCTACACCGTTTCTTCTTCTCTGATTATGGTAAAAAACTTTTCTATACTCTTTGAAGTTTCATGTCATAAACTCCTAGTTAGCTCCTAAATGAAAATAATGGTGACCAGGGCTAATCTCCTTAAAGCTAATAGTCCTGAGGTCAGCAGCTTCACCCCTTACATACACACTGGACTTCCCAAGAAAGGCCAAGGTCATTTTGCCTGAGCACAGAGACTGGCATTTGATCCCAAGACCTCTAAACCTTACACCTATACCCTGAATGAGTTCACACAGTGACCCAAGGTAATGGAACAGTGTTGGTTAACTCAGCTCCTGTTCGCTTCTTTACAAAAATGGTAAGTAATGCACATTCTTCTAAGGTTTACCTGAGTCATGCTGGACATGTTTGCATACCCTGAAATTCCATAATATAAATACGAGTACCAATACATTGCATGGTGGGCGAGAACCACCTCCTGAGATAGCAAGTGAACTTGGTTGTGTCTGGTTTGAAAACTGTAGTTTATTTGTCTTCTTGAAATGAACATACACATTAAGATACTTCATCCTTCCTTGAAAAAATGGGAAGATAAAATGGCTGTTTGGTAGTTTATATGCTTTCTAACAATTTCATACTCTGGATGGTTACCACCCACCAATTCTCACCACTCTCAGGAATAAGTCATTCCTGAAAGGAAATGGGAAATTGCTTTCTGCTGAGGTTCTCTGTCTCCTTTCTGTTTGATCTGATCTCCGAAACAAGGAAAAATCAGTCATAAAATTATTAAAAAGCATGTGTTTTGAGGTCTCCTATATTAAATGGGAGGGTTGGGAAATTTTGTACTGATGTGTCAGATGTTAAGAAATTTGAAAAATCTGTAACTATACACCATGTGAAGAAGGTCCCTTATGGACTAAACCAAATATCTACTTAAAGAAAACTATTCCCACTTACCATTTAAAGGAATTAAAAAACTCTCAAGTGAGTCAAGATTGTGATGTCGCAGGTGCTTTTATTCCACCACAGTGGAGCCTAAACCTACTACACAATTTTATTTTAGAGAAATGATTGTCCATTGGCCAGAATTCAGAAGAAAGAATTAGCTATTGGTTCATTTGATTTTGCTAGGCTAACTCGCTAACACACTCTCAATGAACTGTTTTAACTGATAATTGAAACTCAGCTCTCAAGGGGGAACGAGGGAGGGCTGTGCACAGATGGGGAAGAGGAGATGCAAAAAACAAAAACCTTTCCTGGTGACAATCTGTCTTCTACAAATCTGAGGACAGAGGAAATGAATGTCTTTGGTCTCTCTAATTCAGATCACTTGAGGTGAGTTAACCACTTCGGAGATTCTGGGATGGCTAATAGCCCTGGTGTGACCCAGCCCTTCCACTGTCACCCTATTGAACTAGGGCCCCAAACACTGGGAGGGCCGAGCTATGGCTATCAGCATGTCAGAAGTCTTCTCCTTCGGGAGAAAACAAGTATTCAGGATATGAGCCATTAAAGCTCAAGACTTAGGAAGGGGGTGGGAAGGTAAAAAGCCTGACAAAATAAATATGAGTAAGTAAACCAAAAGATAGTCATTACTAAATAGGCAGTTTTGTTAAGTGCACCTTCAGGTCTACAAAAACATTTCAGCACATTACAGTGCAAGGGTGAGAGCTTTGTGAAACTTCACATGCCTATGCTACACAGTCCCTATACTTCATTCTTACTGACTTGGTTGCAGTGAGCTGCAGATGGAGCAGCATTCATTCTCCCCCTACCACTCAAATTCATAACAACAGCTCATCCCCAGTCCCAGGCCAACAGGTTCACTGCATGCAGCACTTTTTCCTGTCACACATGCAGAAGAATCACCAGTCCAACATCTAACTACGAGAGGTATACCAGGCAGCCAAAGTTCATCTCCTCAGTCTTGGTCTCGTTTTCTCATCCTCTGACCCATCCATCCCACAGTACCGAGCGGATTATTGCTGTTGACAGAGTGCAGCGTTTCAAGCTCTGCGTGTCCTAGATCTCAGAGTCTAACTAAAAGATCACCATATCCCCAGAAATTTGGAAGCGGTTGCATTTTTTCCCAACTGGGGACTTTGAAGCAGGTAGGAAAGGAATAGCCAAGATGAGTCAAGATTCAAAAGAGAAGGAAACATTACAGGGGAGGGTTTGTGCAGTGGTCAGATGTGTGCAGTCCTTGGCTCCTCATCTTCCATGATGTTACATTAGTCTTACAGATCCACAGAGTAGCATAGGAAAATAAAATATCCATGTTCTTTCTTTCAATAGAGTGAACCAGCCTGGGTGGCACTCTAGTTTCTTCGTTTATTGCCTCACTGATAGTTCTAGGATAAGGTGAAGAAGGAATGGGGGTAAAGGGAAGATTCCCAGAAGAAGCAGGGCAGAAATGCAAGGTGGTCAGCAGTAGGCGGCCACATGCTAAGTGCAGAATGAAGATCCCCACTTGGTGTCCTTAAAAAGGCAGTGAGTGCCTCTCCATGGGTGGACAGCTGGTGGGCCCCCGAGGCCTGCGTTCTGTGGCTCTCTTTCGGCTAGGCTCAGGGTCTCAGCTGCTCTCTGGGCTGGGTGCTGGGAGATGCTTGGCCTGCGAAGTGAGTGCCAGGTAGGAAGATCATAGGAGCATCATAGGAAATATCTCAAGAGACTGGACCAGGAGGGAGGGCCTAGGAAATGTTATGAACTGAGTGTTCCTTCCCATATGCACAATGATGCCAGAAAGATCAGACTATCAGAGATCTGCAAAGCGCTGTTGCTGACAGAAGAATACAGAAAAGCACAAAAACACTGCATGGGACCTGAGGAAGCCCTGAATGTCCAGAGTGGCCCTCAATGGGAAACAAATTCCCAAAAAGTTTATCTTGGCTCTGGTGGAGAAGAGGAAAAAAACATACGAGTTCATGGTTCATGTCCAGTTCGAAGCTAGGTCTCAGGTCCCAGTTTTACATCCCACATCAGGCTGCCAAAGGGACTCAGTCCAGTGGATGGCCAGAGAAACAGCACCCTCCTGGATCTCTCCTCTCCAGGGCTCAGGCGGCGTGGTCTTCTCACAGTGGTATAGTGAGACAGCGAGGATGGAAACAGGAAAAGCAAAATATCTGTGCCCCAACCCTTCCTCTCTTTGTTACATAACTTCTCAGCTGTGTTAATGGAGGCACTTTCTGCAGTTCGCTGTGGGTACAGGATAAAGGCACTAAGCAACTATTAAATCAATTGGTTAAGTTTCTTCAGGGTGACTCAAGGGAAGGGCTAAAGCCTTTACAGACTTCAAATCATGACTGCAAAAAAGAAATCAGCTCTGCTTTGGATGCATACAATAGATAAACATTTTCATTTACATCTTAAGAATGCACCAAAAAACATGCAGTATTGCACCTTTTTTTGTTTGTTTGTTTTGCTTGTGTTTATCTTCAGCTAGAAATGATACTTGTTCTTAGGTGTTGCTATATATACCTTGATGACTTACTTAGTTTTCCATATAGCTTCCCTTTAAGGAATGGGCATATTGGTTCTCTCTCTGCCTACACCTGCACAGAAACCTGACATTTCCCTGAGCAAAGGCAGGAAAATTGATTGAGTACCCCCACCCCCACTTTTTTTTTAACTTGTAGTTTTTATTTATTTATTTTTATTTTTTTTACTGAAATCATGCATTAATTAATTCAAGGTACACCTTAATCAAATAGGCCATAATGCTGAATAAGAGAACATGCTTTGAGCTCCAAAAAGTTATTGTTCCCATCTGACTAACATATGCACTTAAATACAGTACTTTATTTGCTAATAAAATAGTTAATAAATAAAGGAGTGCACTTTTGGTGAATGCAAATGAAAAAGGACCTATTTTTAGAAGAGTCGATTCAAACGTAAGCTTATCCCCTATTGTCTGAGTTAACGTTCTCGGCATGCGATTGTAAAATAAATATCAGAATCAAATATGCTTACATTTAACTCCATTTGTGCTCTCTTGCAATAAGGAGGCTAAGGTTTTACATCCAGTTCTGGAGGCCAGGGGTCAGGGTACAGGACCAGTGAGACAAGACCTGTGTTGGGCTCACCTGCAGTTGAGAAACTTAGCAGCACTGCAGATGAATCAATTAATTTTTATCTATTTCTTAGAGAATAGTTTGAATAGAAGGAGAATGGGACAAAGGGAGAACCCCTAAAGACCAGGACCAGCATCAGATTGATAAGGTGCTTTGTGAACCAGTCTTAAGTAATTCTGTTTGCTTTTCCCCCCACCTTATAATATGCAGTTCAGTGGACCAAAAGAGCATTGTTCGTTACCCACTTTAGCTGGTATATCATATTATATATCAACAGATGCACTGTCTTAAATGTACTGTGCAGTTTGCAAAGATTTTTTTTTATTGGAGTCCCATGCAACTTTTAATTTTATATTTCTAAGTGATCACCTGGTTCTTAGTTAAAAGAAAAAAGTTAAAGAAGCCCAAGGATTACAAATGTTTCGGTCTGGGGAAGCATATGAATCTTATTTTACCTAGACTAGCTTATGGACTGAATTTTTTTAAACCAGTTTTATAAAATACACTTTCTTTTCCCATTTTTAATAAAATGAAAATAGGTTTTTTTTTAATGGATCTTGAAAGCTTCTGGTTGGCCATCCCCAAAATCCACAATGCAATAATGCATTGACAGTTAAACAGAGCTTTCAAAGACTAGTAAAGTAGCGACAAAGAGTGACATGGGTCACCAGGGCTTTTGCTTTGCTTTTAAGTCTTTCAAGCTGCTAAGTGGGGCTTTTTTGTTTGCTTGGCTTTTTAAACATCGGTCAGTAGTTTGTTCTTATTAACGCAGTTTTGGTTGGCTGTGGTGCAATTGCCAGTTCTGATGTTGGCCTGTCTATAATGGGCTATGCTATTATTCATATCCTCTTCGATCTCCATGTACTCAGATTTGCTGAGAGTAGAGGAACTGCGCCGACTGAGGTCACTGTCAGAGGCTAAGTTAGGGGAGCTAACGTGGAGCAGCTGAGCCTGCTCTTCCCCCTCAGTTTCTCGGTGGTAGAAATAGTTGAAATTGGACACAATGACAGGTACGGGCAGGGCAATTGTCAGCACACCAGCGATGGCACACAAGGAGCCCACGATCTTGCCTCCAATTGTCACAGGGTACATGTCACCATATCCTACAGTGGTCATGGATACCACCGCCCACCAGAAAGCATCGGGGATACTGGAGAAGTGCGACTCAGCTTCTTCCGCCTCGGCAAAGTACACTGCACTCGAGAACAGTATGACCCCAATGAAGAGGAAAAAGATGAGCAGCCCTAGCTCTCGCATACTAGCCTTGAGGGTCTGGCCCAGGATCTGGAGGCCCTTAGAGTGGCGGGAGAGTTTGAAGATTCTAAAAACCCTTACCAAGCGGATGACCCTGAGGATGGCCAGCGAGGTGGCCTGCTCGCCCTTCTGGTTCCCCTCCTGCTCAGCTATCTCGGTGCCCAGGGTGATGAAATAGGGGATGATGGCCACGATGTCGATGAAGTTCATGATGTTCTTGAAGAAGTCCGCCTTGCTGGGGCAGGCGAAGAAGCGCACCACCAGCTCGAAGGAGAACCAGATGATGCACAGGGTCTCCACGATGAAGAAGGGGTCCGTGAAGAAGTTGGAGGTGTAGATCACCGTGGTGTTGTCGATGCGGTGGACAGTGCCCGTGAATTCCTTATCATCCTTCAGCTCAGGCAGCGTCTCCAGGCAAAAGATGACGATGGAGATGAGGATGACCAACACCGAGACGATGGCGATGCCCCTGGCGGGCCCCGAGCTCTCCGGGTACTCGAAGAGCAGCCACACCTGGCGCTGGTACTCCTTCTCGGGCAGGGGGCGCTCCTCCTCCTTGATGAATCCCTCGTCCTCCCGGAACTTCTCCATGGCCTCCTCGCCCAGCTCATAGAACTTGATCTCCTCGGAGAACATGTCCAGGGGCACGTTGACGGGCCTCCGCAGCCGGCCCCCCGACTGGTAGTAGTAGAGGATGGCGTCGAAGCTGGGCCGGTTGCGGTCGAAGAAGTACTCGTTCCTCAGCGGGTCGAAGTAGCGCATGCGCTTCTTGGGGTTCCCCAGCAGCGTGTTGGGGAACTGCGCCAGGGTCTTGAGCTGCGTCTCGAAGCGCAGCCCGGAGATGTTGATCACCACGCGCTCGCAGCACTCGTGGTCCTCGTGGTCGGCCAGCCGCGGGTAGCTGCCGTCCTGGGGGTGGCCCGGGGTGGCCGACGCCTCGTCTGCGTTCTCCCCAGACATCACCGTCATGGTGGAAGCCACGTGCAGGGGTGAGAGGCCAGGGGAAGGCGGGCGGTGGGGAGGACGGAGAGGAGAGGGGTGGGGGGGACCCAAGCGCCCCCCCCACCGGAGTGCGCGTCTCCCCCACGCTCAGGGGGGAGGGGCTTCAAAGAGCGCAGGGCCAGAGATCTGCCTCTTTGCTTCTGGCTCCCTTTCCCTCCACCCTGCCTTTGGCTGAGTTTGGAAACCCCTCGCCTGCAGCCGAGGGTGCAGCTTTTTTTGCAGCGAGTTGGGATGGGGGAGGGTTGGTGTTTCGTCCTGGTCCGAGGTGCCTTAACGCAGTGCTGTTCTAGAGGGCAGGGCCATCGCTTCGGGGGTCACCCTGGCCTCCCCTCCCCTCCGCAAGCCCTCCTAGGACCGGTGCAGAGCCAGCTCGGCAGAGCCCCTCTCCTGACACCCCCTCTGCTTCTCGGCTCTCCCCCCTCCTACCCCTCTTCGCCTGCCGCCTTCTAAGCTCCCACCAGGGCGATCGATGGACGCTGCAGAGAAATAGAAAGTGATACGGAAGTAGAAAATCAGAAGCATTCAGATGGGACGGACCTACAGACACCGAAGAGCACAGACCCCTGTTTTTTCCAGAAAGCACTGGACTGTTGCTGGACAGACACACAGACAGACACACACAGACACCCGGAAATCCAAGTTTGGGGTTCTTCCATCCCACTTTCCCAAATGCCCCGCAGCCGATCTGTTTACAACTTGGTTAAACTAGAGATCGGGAAAAAGCGCCTGGAGGCGCTGGGGGAGCTCCAGGTCCCAGGCAGCACCCCCACACCCCCAGCTGCCCCCACCTATCACCCCCCGCTTC